GATGCTCAAATCATCAATTTTAATTTTGCCATCTTTCAGGAGCTTCAAATTGATTTTTCTAAGTATGAACATCCTGTTGTTATGACAGTCGAAGAGCAGGTAAAAGAATAATGTTATATTAAATTAATTCCCATAATTTCCTTCTCCATAGTAGCACTCACAAATTCTTTATTTCATCTCAATCAGGCAAACTATGTTGGGAATGTAGGATTGAGTAAAAATCTGTTCTTGAAGGTATGAAAAAATCATTGTTATTGCCCCATGTATTGTGTATACATATGTTAGCAACTGATTGCTTTTGGTGGGTCTTGGTCATGTATGCAGGATAAGAAACATAGGTATTATATTGTTTCTGCTCTTGCACATACAAATGTAGATCTTAAAGGTATATGGTTTTATCTCCAAATGTACTTGGTGATGTTTTTTTAGCTTCCACATGATTAAATTTTATTGAGAGTTTTGTGTGCCTTTGGAGCTGAGCAGTTTTATCTCAGAGGCTTGGTTTGGGAAAAGGAGGGTTAAGAATGGCCCCGGAAGAAGCATTAGGTGAGATACTTCAGGTAAGCATGTGCTAAATTGCTAATTGAAAATTTTTGTAGCATAATCATTTCAGGTTGTCTTATAGTTGGTTATATGGATTTAGTGTACAGCTCCAATCCAGTTTTTGTAAGCCCAAATAAGCACTATTTTGCTAGGAGGCTTGGTTTTAGTCTTTTCATTTTAACTGGAATTTAACTTTTTTCTTATCCCTTTAAATGGAAAAGTGTGTGCTCTTTTTTCATTTTTTTAGAAAAAATATTCAATAAACTACTTGGCCATGTAATTTGATTATGCAGAGTTATGGTTATGGATAATATCAGAGATATGGTTATTATTCATCCTTTGATTTTTTTTTTTTTTTCCACTTTTCAAGGTGCCATTGGGATCTGTTACTCCTTTTGCTCTAGTAAATGAAACCGCACGGTATGCATTAGTTCTTGTTTACTTTAGGCATTGAATTTTACCAAATTTTTGGTTAGCAATTATCATATTGCAATTTTGAAGATTATTTGTACTGCCTTTACCATTTCTTCTGTGCATTTAACACATTAATTTTTTTCTCCTCTTTTGTGAAGAAATGTCTCACTATTGTTGGATCAAGGATTCAGAACTCAGGAGCATTGTTTTTTCCATCCTCTCTCCAATGACATTTCAATCTGTAAGTTAGAATTGTTTTTTTTATATAGCTTTTCTGTCAGTTTCGTGTTAAGTTGTGATTGATGCTTTCATATTATCTTTGATGCTTTTTTAAGTTGAATACTCCCGTCAAATGCTATCTTCATTTGAATTTATTCGATTTTGGAATTATTCTCCTTTTAGGCTGATTTTATTTTAGCTATTGTGGGAATTTAAGTGCAAAAGCAGGAGAAGTTGTTTTAGTGATTTAACTTTTATCCTATGAGTTATCTCCTGATCCATTAAATGTTATTGTTGTTTCCAGCTCTTAACACTAATGGTCTTGACAAGCTCCTTAAATCAATTGAGAAAGAACCCACATATGTTGACCTGGAGGTGATTTTGCGTTTTTTATTTCTATCTAATTTCACCTTATAATTTGCCATATTATTTTACCAAATATCATTTTCCTTTTACCAGGCTAGCCCATTAGTTGGGAAGGATCAACCACCTGATTTAGCTGCTTTTGTACCATCAACTTCCATGGTCCTGCCAGATACTCAAGCAGAGGTATCTTCTTCAAAAACTTCTGCTGGAAATCAAATTAGTCCAGTATCCACAGATAGCAAGTCCATCACAGTCACAGGTAATTTTGTTCCAAATATATACCGTCTGATTCCAAAACTATAAAGTTCTTCTTTTCTGCCTGCATTCCAGATTCATAATATGTTTCACCATCCCACCATGGCAAAGAATTAAGTTCGTACTTCCTAGATTCCATTTTAGTGAGAAATTCGCTAGTGTTTAGAACTGAATGCCATGTACTTCTGTTTGAGTAGAACAAAACCTTTCTTCTTCTTCTCTCTCTCTCACTATTTTTTTAAAAAAAAATTTATGTCAGTTAGCTTCTTAATCTGCATTTGATGGCTGAGTAACATGGAATATTATCCTTATAAACACAACCCTAAAATATAACCTTTTCACTCGTGATGTAGCAAAAGCCAATAAGCCATCCAGTAACAATAAAAGTGTAAAGGTCCAGCCAGCAAATGGTGAAAAATCATTGATTTGTTCTGCAGATGTTGGAAACTTTGTGGATGAGATTCTGGAGAAAACATCTACTTTGTGCCTTTCAGAGGTGAGCTAACTATTATCCTTTTACTATTTGATCTCAACCATCAAAGTATTTTTGGGTTAACACTAAGAAACCAATGCAGATCACTGAGGACTCCATCAAGCAACATGGGGGAAAACTCGGAGATGTTATAGCAAACAGTATCAGAAAACATCTTACCTCAGATTTAAAGAACTTAGCTGTAAGCAACATGATATTAATTAAAGTTTTTTCGCTCTTATTAACCATTATAATGGATGAATGACCTTCAAAGGAACCACTTCATATACAGTTGTGAGCATTATTTTCTTTTTAAATTGTGCCCTGACCATGGTGCTAACTTTCCTTTGCAGACAATTTTCAAGAACACGGCATATACAGAGGGGTTTAATGCTGGTACTAAGTATCAACCCAAACGCCTTTGAACTTGTTTCTCTGTGACCCAGATTTTATTTATCAACAACAAATCCCAACTTTGAAAAAGATGGGAAAATGCAAATTATCATCTTTCATGAAATATTGAGTTCTTATACCTATTCATCCATGCATCAAAAGATTTGGAGTGCATGTAATGTTCCCGATCATTTGAATCATATAGCATTCTTTACTTTTACAGAATCCTGCTTATAAAGTACTCATTTTTTTCCTATACTGATGGGGTTTTTAACATTAGGTTCCCCCTTCATATTGCATCTGAGGAATGAGGATGCCTCTACAATAGCTGATACATGATGTAGGATGAGTTTGATTGTTTGATCCCCTAAGTAATAGCAGTATCTTTTTCTCAACTGGCTGAATATAATCAAGACAGGAAATTATTCGCTTTATCCTAATTTTTATACGTGCTTTTCTTGTTCTCCAGTTTCCTTCCATGGACAGTTGATGCAGTTATATCCCTAAACAAACATTTTGAACAATAAAGTCCATATATGAATAGCTGGCTAAAGAATACAGCAGTGATGCCACCGTGATTCAACTGTTCCAAAAATATTAGATGAAATCAAAACTAAATTTTTGTTGTTCACTTGTTTTCAAGTTTGAATTCTCTTCTCTCATTTCATGGAAATGTTATTTTCTTTTCCTATTTTAGCCATAAATATGTGAATCAGGTGAACACAAAAGACTCAGTTCTGATTACCTGGAGAAGAGCGGCGGTCATCAGCTGGTGTACTGATTCGCTGGAACCTTGGACTTGGACGGAATGGCCATAGATTATTAGCCAGCTGCCGAAGCCTTGGGCACCTTCTGTTCCTGTCCTCTCCAGATTCATCACTATGATCAGAGCTTTCAGTGACTACCGGCACTTCATGCCGACAAACAGGACAGTTATTATGAAGCCTTAGCCAAGGAACAATGCAGTCTGTGTGGAATATATGTTTGCAAGGCAACTCCCTTGCCGTTTCACCCACCTTGAACTCCTCCTTGCAGACAGGACACTGTGAGTCATGCACCAAGTGCCCTTCTGTGATGATTACTGTTGGTATTGCCGCAATTGTTCTCTCGGAAGCGGGAGGAACTCCGGGGCGGTCATCTTGTGTCAATCGCTCAATCAACTCATCCAGCCCTGGTCCCATAAAGTAATTTCTTGGATCAAGACCTGGGAGCCTTTCTCTCCCTGGCAGTGGCAGAAAGCGGGGCCTGTTGGGGTCCGAACTAGAAGGGTCGATTGGGCTGACCAGGATCCAAGTCCTGCGATGGGGCAGAGCTTCATCCTGTTCTCTATCATCCTCATGACCATCTAAACTACGACTTCTCCTTATGCGACGTGACCTGAGGAGTTCAGGCTCAGGGTCCGAATTGGTTCGACGCCTGAACCAAGGCCGACCTCGAGGCTCCTCCCTAAGCCCACTGCGACCAAACACCCTATTTGGAGGGTCAAGGCCAAACAGGAGAGAGAGCGCTTCGAGTAAGCGAGCTTCAGGGGAGGCATCAAACGCAGGGAAATAATCCACCAGTCCTGGTCTGGAAATTTCAACCTCCTCAACAAATTGCCCCAAACATCGAGGACAGACAATTTCGGACGAATTCGTGGGGGCAATTCTCACACTCCGATGGCAATTGTGGCACCAGTAGAGGCGGTACTCAGGGGTTGTGCCATCGGTTCCATCGCTTCCATTGATTCTGACTCTTGGAGGGCTCTCAGACATTACGAATTTCGGGTTTTCTGCGTTGTGGGTTCGAAAACCGAAGGCAATAGGGCCATATATATGCGGGAAGCAGCATCACGGCATGGCCTTAAGAGGTGATTCTCCATCTATTTTGTTCACATTGTTATCCTCTACAGAAAGACAAAGAAAAGGATGAGTGAGGTCTGAGACATTTCATTTTTGAATTGGGAGGGAAAGCTTTTCCGGGAGAGAACGGTTAGCATCTTTGCTGTTGGGATTTTGGGTAAAGAGGCCCATTAAACAAAGACAATATGAGGAATTGTCCAAGAAGAATCACAAGACCAACAAACTGTTGGTCCGAGTGGAAGAAATTTGATTTTTCTTAAATAAAATCTTGAATTTAAGTCTCGAGAATGAATAATGGGATTCATGTGGCTTAATTCCAAATTAATTAGGATTCAATGTGATTATTGGATATCGAAAAATTAATACAAAAAAAGAAGAATCACAAGACCAACAAACTGTTGGTCCGAGTGGAAGAAATTTGATTTTTCTTAAATAAAGTCTTGAATTTGAGTCTCATGAATGGATAATGGAATTCATGTGATTCAATTCCAAATTAATCGGGATCCAATGTGATTACTGAATACCGAAAAATTAATACAAAAAATGAAGAATCACAAGCACAACTCATAAGGAAGCTCTAGAAGTGGGCTAGGTGTTATATATTTGTTTACTATGCTCTCCCCCAAGGGCTCCAATCTTTAGAATATCCAACAGTTTTGCCCCTAACTTTTTAAATTTAATAGTGTTTCTCCTTTCCTTTGTTGATCCACATACATTACGTGTGCTGCCAAGGGTTCATTCTTCATCGATACACATACACTCCACTTATATTCGTTTGCAAACTGGTACAAGCAAATGTACCTAAATTATATATTTTGTAACAAAAAATATAGTTAAAAGTTATTGTCAGTAATCAATAATAACAATAAGTTTATAGTTACAAATGTAATAAAAATAAAGTAAAACAATTGCGCGGTGTAGTGTTTTAATTAATATGACTTAAGCTTTATTTGCTAGTGTTGTGTTGTTTTGCTCTTTCTATTCTAAAATAAATAAAATATTAATTGAAATTAATAAAAGTATATAAAAATTAATAGAAAGGTGAAAATCAAGACGTACTAACATTAAAAATATCAAGACATTTAATTTTAATTATAATTTAAGTGGAGCTTACATTTTATCTTTTAATTGAACGTCTTAATATTTTTAATGTCAAAATATTTTAATTTTTCATATTCTCTAAAAATTGATTAAGAATAATAAAATGCTGTAGAAAAAAAAAATTTGTACTTCGTTAAACAAATTATGTACAAGTTCAAATATTATCTCATTTTAAATTGCGTAGGTTGACCTTGATGGTAGGTTCGAGAAAGAGGAATCAATATTACTTAACGTACAAGAGAATAATTTTAAGGCAGAAAAAATCTGCACTTTGTTAACTGAAATAACATACTCAAAAAAACACTTGAATTAATTGATGCATGACTTGAACCAGAAGATGAAGAAATTATGTAACTGTTATTCTTTTCCAAAGTAGGTGGAACACGTATGCCTTGGCTTATATTTCATGTCCTCCAATTCCAATGAATTTATAATTTGCAAGACTCTCTTCGTTTCCCCCATTATTGGAGAACCATGTTAGGTCACATTTCTCTTCTCCTTTAATCACCACCTGCCGCTGAAGTGATGAGTATACCATAAAAATATTTTCAAAGAAAATTTTCCTTGGCACACTGGTCCACATCAAAGAAACGTTGCAGAATCTGGGGTTTAGTCATTTGTTCTGCAGAGTCAAAATGAAAGATCATTTTTGTTTATGTAAGCCCTTAATTAAAATTGACTTAGGTTGGAGGAAGATAGAGGAGAGGTCCAATTCTCTAACCCATCACTAATTACTTGCTGTTGTATTAACTAAATCAAAGTCAATAAAGAAGAGTGGATTAGGTGTTGCTAAAACCTATATAACCAAGTCCCAAGCACCATATCTAATTAATTAATTTAGGCAAGTCACAAGAAATTTATTATTGGGTTTAATTAATTCAGGACACCTAAAAAATTTAAGCTAAAATTTATTGTACTGTTTCTCAATCTTCTACAATTTCTTTTTAAGATGTTAACAAGGAATCAAGATGCTTGTTAAGGAAATGCTCAGATTGTATACACCGGTCATCAAGAGTTTTGAACAGAAACATGCATCTTTTTTCCCAACTAAATACTTGAAATTGAAAGTTGGAAATATTGGTGGAAATGAAATTAATTTCATCACAACTGAATTTGATTGTTTATGTAAATTCAACATTTTTCCTACCCATATTTTTTGAATATGGCCTTGTGGTTAAGTGGGGTTCAAGCTAAGCAAGCTAAAGCAGATACCTCAAACCAAGTTAGTTATATATATAGCAGTGTGGGCAGGACATTTGCTTATAGCTAGTCTTGTGGATAAGTGGGGTTCAAGCCACTACAAGAAAAGTGATTTTTAGTGACAAAAACTTGTGATGAATTTTGAAATCATCACTATAATTGATCACAATTGTGATAAATCTAAAAAATTAGTCACATATGCACACATATTTAATGATGATGAAAAAAATTCATCATAAAAAATATATTTTGTCACCGAAAAATGTTCATAGAGATAAAATAAGTTTTTGTCAATAAAAATTGTCACTATAATTTATTATAATTATGACAAAATTCTAATATTGGTCACATATAACCAAATGTTCAACAATAACATAAAAAAATCATCACTAAAAATATATTTTATCACTTAAAAATTGTCATAAAGATAATATTGACTACTGATAATTAAAATCATCATTATAATTCCTCATAATGTTGACAAATTTCAAATGATGATCACAAATACTTGTGTTCAATAATGACGAAAAATAAATCATTACTAAAACTATTTTTTGTTATTTAAAAATAAACATAGATAAAATATAAGCTTCCAATGGTAAAATTTGTCACTATAATTTATCATAATTGTAATAAATTTAAAATATTAATAATAAATTTCACTTATATTATGTTTTAATAGCTAAAATTTTTTAAAAATTTTCATTTTAAGCTAATAATTTTGCGAGAAATTAAAATTTGAAAAAAAAAAAAGAAATGACTTTTTGTTGACAAAAATATCAGAAACGCTGGTAAAAACTGAGTATAAAACTAATAAAATCAAAATTAATTTACCAAGAAATAACATGATTGCATAATAATTTAAGTTTAGAGACTTATTTGCAAACATTTAAAAAATTTAAGGACATCAAAAATTATAATCTAAACAAATAAATGAATAAATAAAAATATTTAGGGCCAAAGTATTCATAAAGTAAAAGATTAAGAACTATCTTTACTAGTTTATAATGGAAGACTTGGAAACCAAACAATGTTTGAGTGCCATAAAGGTAATGTTAATACTTAATACCATGCGATAAGAATAACACTAATATTATCTAAATATTATAATAAAACAACTCATTCCATTGTAACTACTAATTACCAAAAATCATAACACACCAACACTAGACCAAAAAGAATAAAATACATGATTACAAATCATCATCTGTATCTTCATCGAGCACCAACATTTCATCATCACTAGAAAGAAGGTCATCATCATAATCAATCTCATCCTCCTCATCTTCATCTGCAATTACCATTTCTGAATTTATTGGCCCTTGTTCAACAGTAACTTCTACTAATTCTTCTCGACTTAAAATTCCATCCTCACTTAAAATTCCATCCTCACTTTCAAACAAATTCGCTTGTTGTATCACTCCAATGTCCTCATCTTCTTGACATGGTCCAAATGCATCTTCATCAGGGGGAAAATCATACAAATCACAGGGTTTTGTCTTGATTACAACCTGCCAATTTGGGTCTTTTGTATCTGGAACATAATACACTTGTTCAGCTTGAGTAGCTAATACAAAAGGTTCATTAGCACTACTTTTCAGTTTACGAGTGACATTTACTAACGTGAACCCATATTTATCTTCCTTACAACCTCTACTAGAAACATCCCACCAATCACACTTAAAAAGAACAACTGTATGCCCTTGATAATCTAATTCTATGATATCAGTTAATACTCCAAAATAATCAATGTTCCCGGTGCCACCAATATCTGATGGAAGTATAAAACTTTGAAAGTCACATGAGTCATCATGGGAGGCACCTGAGCCATTCAACCGACCATCAAAAAAGTTATTCAATTGTCCGTGATGTTCTTCGTCAAAATGAAGGCGACGACGCACTGTTTTATTATTTGCAGTCTTCATCATAGAAACCTATCAACCAATTTGGTAAGCGATCAAGTGCAAGTCTGCGAGAAAAAAGGATCGAGTCCAAGTAAAAAAAAAAAAGAAAACCGGTCGGCAGAAAAAGGAAAGAAGATGATCAAGTGCAGAAGTTGAAAATACGTACCCGATAAAAGGTGTTGTAGGTAGGATATAGGTGAACTGTTAATATTTTTATTTATAAACAAAATATTAATCTAAATATCACCAACTTTTTTATTAAAATAATAAAACCTAACAAAATTTATTAATAAAATAAAATGAGGTGGGGACTCTTTTTTTTGATAATGTCAACTTTAAAATTATAAATTTAAATAAATCAGTTGTGTAATGGGGGTGGATTCTAACGGTAGAAGTGTGTTTAAAATTTAAATATATTTAGATTTTTAAAAAATAGATAATGTGAATTTTATATATTAGAATAATTACATTTAATAAATTTTAACTGCATAATAAGTATATTTTTAATTTATTTTTTATTTATATTTAATTTATCATTTACTTATCAGATAATTATAAATTTTAAATAAATTTTAAAGTTAATTAATATATATTATCTGTTTTAATTTAAAATTTCTATCACGTTTAAACTTCTTAACGTCGAAGAATATATATAATATTAAACCAACAGTTTTAATAACAACTACATAAAATCTAAAAGGTCATCAACAAGCTTAAAGCAGTTTTAATAAGGTATGAAAACGTTGCTTTATATCTAGGTTCATCTTCTTTAATCTGTATATTGTGCCTAATCATCAACAATTTTTACCTTTTTCTCTCAAATCTCTTATTACGATTTTGCTTACAGTAAACTTTGATTCATCATACATTTTGTTGTCAAGGCTTTTTTAGGTTAAATTTCTCTATATGAGAATCTCTGAAATCACTAATAAATTATTGTTTTGTTGTTATAATCTTTTTTTTATGCACTTTGTTATTATAATCTTTGTTATTACTAAAATGATGCTAATATTTTATTTTTTAATTTTTTTTTAAAGCATCTGCCAAGTACAAGCACTTGCTTTGCATTTACAATCTTCTATAGAACATTTGCTATTCTATCATGTCAATTTTATACTTTGTTCGATCAAGTTTGTGCTTAGACATTTTCTTTTCTTCCATTTTATTTTCATGAAGCATACAGTAACTATTAT